GTGGTGATGGATTATTTTACGAAGTGGCCTGAGGCATATGCAATACCAAATCAGGAAGCTAGAACAGACGCTTTGGCTATTAGTGATTTCTTCTTCAGATTTGGTATGTCATACGAACTGCATTGTGATCAAGTCTGTAACTTTGAATCAGCTGTGTTCCATAAATGCTGCAAGTTGTTTGGCATACGAAAGACCAGGACAACGCCACTTCACCCACAGTCTGATGGGATGGTAGAAAAGTACAACTGGACACTGGGACAGGAATTAGCAAAGTTTTGTAATAGCCGCCAAGATGACTGCGATGTCTTACTCCCTCCACTGCTGATGGCCTATAGGACAGCAGAGCATGAAACCACTGGATACACTCCAGCAAAGTTGGTGTTTGGTCGGGAACTTCGGTTGCCAGTGGATCTGTTAACAGGACGCCAACCTTATGAAGAGTTGCCTGAAAATGTGTCAGAAGTATTATCGGAAAGGATGGATAATATTCACCATCAAGTGCGTTCAAACTTCAAAACGTCTGCTGATTCGATGAAGTTATGTTATGATAAGAGATCTACTGAAGTCAGCTTTGTACCAGGAGACAAGGTGTGGTTGTATAATCCCAGGAAGACCAAAGGGAAGTCTCCTAAGTTGTCTTCTCCATGGGAAGGCCCATATGACATAGTGGATCGTCTCTCAGACTTGACTTCTTTTTTACGAAAAATTAACAAACGAACACAGAGGCGTAACAGTATGTTTAAATTTGTTTCAAACCGATAGTCTTGACACTTAATACAATACTTAACAATGTTTTATTAATTCCGTGGTCCCTGTTAATAAGCAAAAATCCTCATCGGCAATGGACATGGTAAATTTAAATTTAATGTGGTTGACGTGTTTTACCATATTTTCCTTTGCTTTCAGTCGTTTATTCTTATAATTAATATTTCAATGGAAAAAATAAAAAGGATCGAACGATTATGATGACTGTGTAAAATACGCTATTTTTTCTTTAATCCTAGTGGTGTTGTTTTTCATGTACTGCAAAATTATACAAAATATATGTGTATTTGCCACATGATTTGATTTGTACTTATGGTGAGAGTATTAGTAGAATGTTGAACCGGGAGTAACTGTTATAGCGTTTTTCTGTTGCTTGTGAGGGTCGGGATAGTTTATATTTTTACAGGTGTATTTTTATAGTTAGTGCAATTTATCAAGCTTATTTATTATATAAAAAATATGTCATGTGATGCTTTCAAAAGCATCATATCAGAATTTTTTGAGTATGATACAACGAAAATTGTTCACATCAAAAGTAAGAAAGCTGGCATTTTGAATAGAATCGTGCAGTTGATCATAATAGCCTATATTGTTTGGTAGGTACTAAATTTTAACATTAGATTTTATCGGTAAAACTAAAAGGGCTGTATTTAACATCTATAGATCTAGGGCTGTTACGGGTTTTGCGTTATACTTATAGTTATACCCTTGTTTCTTGTGTTGTTTTTGGTGAATGGCAGATTTGCTGGTGATATTACGTTCCATAATTCATTTTAGTTTCATGAAACGAGTACTTAAACTTTAAGTTTAAAGAATATTAGTTATTACTAGTTTTATTTTACTGGTTAATCAGACTATGTCATATTCTTAAGTTAAAAAATGAAAATTAGCTTAAAATTTGAATATAGACCTAGTTCCTCTCAGCAACAAAGTTAAACAGAGTTAGATAAATATCAAAGTTCTTCAACTCTTTTTATAATTTTCTTTATTAGATTGAACATCATTTTAATTCTTGGTGACTGACAATTAGATAATGTTGTGTTCTTATTTGTCAAAAAATAAATAAAAAATAAAAGTGAACTAAAAAAATGTACAGCTTCTTTGTGTGATTAGAGATTAAAATCCATGACATTATCTTGTATTAGAACTTACTGAAAAGAATGAACTTGCCTGACTTTATAGATAATGAAGTACATAAAAAAAAAAGTGTTTTAATTTTGTGAGGTTTAAAATGGAAATGTACTGGCACAGGAAGACTATTGACTATTGTTAGAATGCTACCTTGAGTGAGCTTAAGCAGAAGGATCATAGAGGGAACATACCTTCAGTCCTACAAACATTTTCTAAAATTTGGTAATAAAAGTGAGAATAAGGTTATATATTACAGTAATTGGTTCTACATTAAACATTAGAAAATGAATTCTCCACTATATCTACCTAAGGTTTGAAGAACATCATTCAGTTTGAAATATTTAGGTAGTATGGATTAAATCAGATGTCTGTGGCTGATGAGAAGAAAGACATGAAGCTGATGCAGGGCATGGAGGTGTTTGCTCAGAGCTTAAACTCCTGATAGCCTGATTGTTAACTTTGATGTTGGAACACTAATGAAAGTTAAGGATACCACACTTAATCCGAAGCTTGAATGTTTATCTATATTAATAACATAAGATGTATTTATTAGTTATAGAACTGTAAGTTAAGAAATAAAACAATCGCAAATAGTGATATAAAGTGCTTTAGTTGGCAAAGTGGCATTTCAAGTGAAATACGCAATCAAACATTTTTATCAATTTTGCTAGGTCGAAAAAAAACAGTTTTATAACAATATCCACATTTATCAACTTAAATGAAGATAAAAATTTGCTCAACAAAACATGTTCAATATAAAACTTGTTCGGTGCTAATAGTAGCACCACTTGTTCATTCATATGATTGGGATAGTTATAGTTATATGAACCTAATTGTTTGGTTTGGGCAATATAGCTTGAATGCAATGAAGGCAGCATATTGAGACCATGTTAATTAGGTTTGATCAGGGAAGTGAATTATGTGAATATAAATACATTTATGTGAGTATATAAATGAATATGTTATAATGTGAAATGTTGAAATTTTCCATTAGAAAGTCACACAGAGAAGATATTGTATAATTGTTTTAATGAATGTTTTTTTACTTGGTAACAAATCAAATTTTTAATGCATGTTCGAATTTTTACAATTGAACTAGTAATGTTTATTGTTGGATTGTAATGCACATAACTGGATATTATTGTTTCTGTATAATTGTAGGAAAGAGTTCCATATGGCACCCCCACCCAAAAATTGTAGAATTGCCTGGATAAAAAAGATTCTGAAAAGTGTTTAT